CACGGAAGGCTGGCCATAAACACACGAGAACGCGTGAAAGGTTACTTATTCCTTATATCGACTCTCATATAGTACTTAATTTGCTAGAGTTGCTTAGATCCGTGCCTCCTTCTCCCCAGCCTTCTGCCACTGTACTCGCAACCAAATAAAATCCCTACACAGCATATTGAAGCCGGTGGTATAGTCTACCATCCCCAGATAATCACACATCGTATCGCGGTTGTGGGGATCAATGGTCTCGCCATACGAATGGCCTGTCAACCGCTGCACGATCCCCTCAAGCCATCGATCTCGGATACTGCGTGCGGCGACACGACTGCCTGTCCGAGCTGTTAGTCGTGCCGGCTGGGTCCGGTGCGCCATCATCGCTACCATCGAGAACACCATCCCTCGGTACTTACACTCCGTGATTGTACCAGGGAAGTGTCCAGGGTCACACGTCCGTCGTGGCATATAGCACTTGAAACATGCTGTGCCAGGTACGAGCTTGACATGACCACGTCGGGACGTCCACCACTCCTTGGCCGCTTGGTTCCCTGGGTTAGGGCACCGCCAGAGATCGTGGGAGACCTGCTCTAGCTCCATCCCATCCTGCGTACAGAACCAGCACTGCTGACCCCACCGGATGACCTCCGCGATCAGGGTCTCGCTGGCAGGGGGATCCGGAGTGATCCGTGTACCGGACCTTGGACGGGGTACGCTCGATGCGCGGTGGGGTGGACCGAGGCGTGGAATGCCCTGGAGGGTGCGCGAGGACGGGCGTTCGTGGGACATACGGTCGCTTGGTTGCCGGCGGGAGACTGGACGAGCTCTGGCCTGTCTTGTATATATCGCGAGCAGTGCAGAAAACGGCCGGGGATCTGTGACAGTAAAGTCATGGGAGATCGGTCGAGCGCGTTTCCCAGATGGTGTGTGGGGACTGAGGTGGCTCACGTCACGGGGAGAGTTCCGCGGCGGTAGAATCGCTGGAGTGGTGGGCGAACGTGCAGCGGCAAGACTGGCTATCCGAGGAGGACTCATCGCCTTAGCACGGAACCGCTCGTCCAGCAGCATCTGTTCGCCAACCGCAATGTCGGCTTCAATCTGCAACCGCTCGGCCTCTTCGTGCTCCTGTGCAAGCTGGGCCACATGGTCATCGTCCACGGCAGGATCAGGGGGAAAGTCTTCAAAGAGGTCCACGTAGCAGTCAATGTCGATATCATCCGGCGCCTCGTCATCCAATGGATCGTCCTCTAGCCACCGACAACCGTGGTAGGAGGGACTGCGTTCGGTCGCACTAGATAACCCACTGGGTTCAGACGTCCAAAAGTCCGTATCGATGGACTGGGTGGACGGACTGTATGCGGTGGTACGAAGATCCCGAACCGTTCTCTTCTTATCGACGCTATCCGGATCCTCTGGGTCTGGCTCGCATCGGTCACACCGCCGCTCGAGACGACCAGCAGCTCCGTCTCCACATCGCTGGCGGGAGTATCCATCCACACAGCCGTCGAGGTACTGGTCCAGGATATACCGTCGACAGTCCCCAGCAGCACAGTCCACAAACCGCCCAACCCGCTCGAACTCGGCCACGCTGCCCCCCTGCTGGATACGCGGGGCTCCAACTGGTTGGATGATGATGGCCTCACTGGGTAACCCATCCCGTCCGGCGCGGCCACTCTCCTGTGCGTACTCGAGGAGGGAGTAGGGAGCGCCAAGGTGGATGATGCAGCGGATATCGGGGATGTCAACCCCCATACCAAGTGCACTGGTGGCAGTGATCACCGAGGTCTCACCAGTACGGAACCGTTCGAGTATAGCGGCCTTGGCATTCTGGGAGCTGTGGTATCCATCACACTCGAGCACTTCTGCAAGTGCGTTGACGGCAGATACGGAGTTTGCATACACCAGCACCTTGCCTGGCAGACTATCGCGGACCTTTTGCTGGATGAAATCAATCACCTCGGGCGCCTGTGCCGGGCGGTTCCCGTACTGATACTGCCGCTCGACCACTGGCTGGTACATACGATACGCAACGTTCGGCCGCGATGTCCGGTCGCGGAAAAGATGTACGTCTTTACGCTGCGTACGAATCCGCATGAACAGCTCGTCTTCGACTTCAGGGGGAAGCGTCGCGGTGAGGTACACCATCGGGACCTGGAACTTGGTCAGACGCCCCAGTCGCGCCAGGTCGGGTCGAAAGTGCTTCTGATTGTTCAGGATGACATGGCACTCGTCAATCACGATCCGGTCGAGGCGGTAGAGCGCCTTGGTGCGGTTAAGGAATGCAAAAAGTCTTCCGTCAGCGCTGACTCCGGCGTTACCAGCACAATCGACGCACTGTCGACTGGTCGCCGGCTCTCCCACTCCACACTGGACAGCTGGAGTTCCTGACAGCGACGGTGGATATCCCCTCGGAGTGCCAGCAGGGGAACCACAACCACCGTGGTCCCACGGGAGCAGATCCACGCCGGCAGCATAAAGAGAAGGCTCTTGCCACCACCAGTGGGCATAACGGCGATCACAGGACTCCGTCCCTCCTGGATGGCCTCGAGAGCAGGACCCTGCATACCACGGAACCGCGCCTGCTCATCTCCGGTCATATCACGGAGTTGGTTTTCCAACGACGCCTCTCGGAACTGGAGCTGCCAGTACTCCCGATTCTGCTGCGCCTCCACCTGCCACGGCGAGTGTGGGCCGAGTGGCCTCTTTTCGTCTCGGTGGGCCGTGGCAGATGGGAACAGGAGCCATCGGTGGAGGTCCTCGCTGACAACACGGAAGATCTGCCGTCGATACGCCGTCGTGCCAGGCTGCTCGTTGATCAGGCGGCCGTAGGTCGTGCCAGCCACGTTGGACGAGTGTCCGGCCTGCATGTCGGAGGCGTGTGCCAGCCACTCGGGCAATCCCATGCCGCTCTCGTCGTCTGGATCATCCGGTTCATCCTGTCCACTATCCTGGGCTTGGACCGATTGATGCACAGCACGGAGGAAACGGCGACTGATCGCGGTACAGATGTCACGCCATGCGCTCGGTGTGAGGGACTGTCCCTGGAGATCGTGGAAGCTGGCCATCTTGAGCTGATCCCGCAGTCGGTCACGGTTCCAGCTCTTGCCAGTGTAGTCTGGTGGCCATAAGAACGCACGGCGATCACTGTACAAGGTTAGGGATGCGGTCGTGATGGATTGGACAGGGCTTACCGTAGGTGATCCTGCTGGCCTCGCTCGGCTCGATACTCCTGGAGCTTTTCCACAAACGGCAGAACCAGCCAGAGATACCAGACGACCAACTCGCCGACCTCCCGGGGTAGGTACCGATGGATGACCTTAACGTCGTTCGACGCGTAGAATCCCTTGTGGTACTTGGTCACAAACGTGACCATCCCATCCTCGATGAACAGATCGCGAATCCCTCCACCAGGGGTATTGCGGTGTCGGATACTGAGGAGCTCCCGGCCACGTGCTGGCTGGCCGCCGCAGAGGTGGACGATCACGCAGAGTTTCTCCCGGAAGCGGATCACTTTGTCGAGGTAGATGTCAATTCGCTTTGTCGTCAGCTGCCGGTCGTCGATGAACTGGCTCTGGATACTCGGTGTGTTGCGGGTGCGGAGTAACAGCCAGTTGGATCCGTCAACCGGCCACGGGGTCCGTTTGTCCTGCAGGAAATTCCATCCGTCCTTGCTCTCCACGGGGTCGTCGTACAGCTGACTCCATGGGATGGTAGGGATTGCCGCCGTACCCTCGGCCGGGGCAAAAAGGAGTTGGTCGAACAGACACTCGTGCGCGTCGCTCACCCGCCGATGGACGAACGACCGGAACTCCGTCATCGTGAAGTTCAGGTCTTTGTATAGTAGGCGATCCTCGGCCATCCAGCTGACGTGGCCCGGCACCGTACTGTTGAAGTGTACCTTGAGGCCGTACGATCGAAGGTCGAGCATCCATTGGAGAGGACTGCGGGAGCCACGTACCATGAACAGGTCGACCATATGATCGACCCACTGTGCAAAGGTACGGGTGGTTGGTGCTAGTACCGTGGCATGGCGGCCAGACGTCACGAAACTGGGGTCGTTCAGGGGACTCGCACTGTGCCAGTCGGAGATATTGCTCGGATCCTGCATCTGTTGCATCACGCTGGCGGCGTTTGGGTCGAGCAGCATGGCCGTGTGGACCACCATAAACCGAGCAATCTTGATTACCTTGGATAAAATGGGGGGAAGCTATCTGCGGTACGCCATCCACCAGGTCCGTGGCCCTGGACAGCAAGGGCACAGAGCAGCGCGCACTCGTAGTCCTGGACGTGGATCTGCTGGTTGAGGAGTTCGATGCAGAAATCCAAGCATGCACGGTCGAGCTCGGTCAGTGGACGGCTGATATCCGTGGCGTACTGCTCGCCGTCCATCGAATCGTCACTGTCGTTGGAGCACTCGCTGGCGACGTCGTCAACCCCACAATCTTCCTGCGTCTCGCAGCGGCTGAGCACGGGAGGACCGTCAGGGTCTGGTCCATGGAGGGAGAGTCCAGCCTGCCGCCAGAGGTGCTCCCATGATAGACGCTGGCGAGGGGTGAGGCGATAGGACGGGCTCTTCCATTGGTGTGGGGTCTGGGTCCGAGCGAAGAACATGAGGATCTGCTGCCACGGGAGACAGTGGCGTTGGATGTTATCCGCGTCCATATACGCCTGCAGTGGTTTGTGGGGGAGTTGATCCCGCTGCACGCGGATGGCGGCGATGCGGATGGTGTGGCCAGTGAGTGCGGTGACTCTCTGGCTACGGTGGGTGACCGCTTCCATCGCATCCCAGATGGCCGCAGCCGTCCGCTCCGCCTCGAGCTGGTCCCCACGCTCCGGTCGTCGTACGCACTGGATCAGGTCGTCTGGGTCCGATCCCTGGAGATACTCCGCCCACTGGGTACGGCGGAGCCATGGGTTGGCCTCGTCAGCCTGGGCGGGATCGATATCGCGGTTATCGGTGGCCGGATCGCCAAGTGCGGCCAGGCGGTCGAACTGCGTATAGAGCGGATCCAGTGTCGTCGGGTGGGTGTCTTGGACGCTGCGCTTGGCTGGCTGGGCCTCGATCATCACATAATGCGATCCAGTTCCCGAGGTGAATACCTTCTGGCATACCACCTGCGTGGTGGGCTGTGCGGTGCTAGGGACGCCGTTCTCAAGGAGCGCCGGATGGTGGAGGCGCCAGTGCTTCCTCATTGTCTGCGGAGTTCGTGCGATATACCGGCACATATCGACCGAGCCGGCGTTCTGGGCTGCCTGGTAGTCGATATCCTGGATGGTGCACATCAGAGCGTCTGGGTACTCGGCGATCCCGGCAATGGGCATAGGGAGACTGGCTGGCGGGATATAGGAGTCGCACTCGGCCGCTCGGTCCCACTGTTGGACCCGACTGGCGATCTGCTGGCGGACGGCAGGGCTGAGCTTCTTATGCTGGTGGTTGAGGTGACCATTGGTCTCTTTGGGCCGAACTCCGATTTTACATTGCGAACAGACGACCACCGGGTGGTGTTGAGGTGGTATAAATGGATTCTCGGCCATAGTCGGGGATTTGAGGGTGAGCGAAGATATGTCGGTGAATAGGGATGCATGGGGATATATATATTAATTTCCTCCACCATATCGGCTGCATATCCAGTTGCTTTTTTGGATTCATGGTAGGAGCATACCAGATAGGGCTGTGAAGATGACCTATCACCTATATACTATCTGTCACCCCGTTCTCAAAAGAAAAAGTCTAGACACGTCTCATACAGATAGAATTGGTTTTGGGACGTATCGAGCGGCATAAAATGAAATGCGATCGCCAGCAGTCTGTGGAAATCATCTTGGACCTGTCAAGCTACCGGCTGAAACGGGGTATAATATAGCGGCAACACCCACCTCCGTTGGCCGTAAATCGAATCCCCCTGCCGCTGTACGGCTCACCCATGTCAGGATGCCTCCCGAGCGGCGGATTGTCATGGAAAAGTCCAAAGATATAAAGCGACGACACCAGAGAAGCAAACCGTTCCGGTTTACACCCGCGCAGATCGCCCGGATGGACCGCGAGGATCAGCGCGAGGCTCGGGCGAAGCAGATTCGGGAGAAAGACGCGAGACGAATCGCGAATAAAAAGGAAAAAGCCGACGCAGAAGCCAAGGCGCGTACAGAGCGGAGGGCGCGGGGGATCCCAGACCCGAATACCCGTGTGCCGTCCAGTCAGCCACTACTCCTAAAGTTCTTCAACGCTAGCGCCAGACGTGATCGGTCGCCGGAGCCGGTTGAATCGAGCAGATTCGTGGCTGATATAGACCTGCCAGACGGAGCGATTCTCAGTACCGATCGGGTGGTACTTGGCGGGGCCGCTGACTGGGATTGTTTTGATTTGTGGACCGATAGAATCGACGGTGGCGGCCCCGATCTAAAACCGCAGAGGGATCTTGGTAACAATTTAATTGTGATTGGATCTTCATCGGATCCCAATCCAGCGCGAGGCAACGATCCGGGCTGTGGCGCAGGAAAAACATTACCTGGATGTGATGGTACCGATGTGGAGACTGCGTGTGAGACTGGGTATGAGACATACCGAGATGTTACTATAGGGGATATGGAAGAGGCCGGTGAATCATGCTGGCGTTCAAGTCCGCCGGTGTGGGACTTGGATGTGCTCGCGTCTCATATGGCGCCTTCTGCAGGGTTGGGTATTTCTGCTTCTACCGAAGAAGGCGAGATCACGATAGCAGTACAGAGTCCTAGTCAATTGTCCTGCAGTCGACAATCGCCTAGGACTCTGCACTGTATCCCACCATCATCGCCTGTCGTGTCGGCCCAGCGTATATCTCCGGATAGCCAGTCGCCGGTCGCTTCCTGCCAGTATGGAAGCTCGCATTTTGCTTCCTCCCAGTTCGACCCGACCGATTTCCTCTTGGCTGAGGCAACCGTACCTGTTCAACCAGCGATCCGACCGGATAGTACTTGTATTGGCGGATGGGTTGACGACGGAGTTCGGAGGAGGCAGTCTGTGGCTTCGAGTGAATTGTTTTATGATGATACTGCAGGTTGGATGGAGGATATATTTGTCAATACTCACGGTCATCCTTTCAGTGACGATCGACCAGATGTCTATCTTACGCAACTGCCTTGATGATGTTGAGTCGGTTCTAGACTCTAGGTAGGATGGGAGGGGACATGGATGTTGGTGGGATACGATAATCTGCCTCTTTGTTTACGGCATTGGTGCATAGACTCTGCCGGGCGGTATCTACTGCGGAGTTACGGGGAAGAATACTATCTTTTTATCTCATGGAGGGAGACCATTATAGATTCGAGTATATTTCGTATCGATTGAATCTGTCTTGCTGTTCCTAATCTCCAGTAGAAATCAACAATATCAAAGGGAATTGATTGTTCAACGCATTGGAGATCGCATCGAAGGTTCTCGTTCCATTGCGCCCATTGAACGTCCTGGAAAAGGTCTCGAACGGCGACAACCAGCTCTCCGATGGCGGTGACCACTTCCTTGGCGGCCGTAACAATCTCCTTCACCTTGTCGAGGAAGTCCTTGGCGACGACGACAACGCCCAAGACTCCCAGCAGGACGTCCTTGGTGGCGGCGAGGAGTGCGACGGCTTCAGCCATGGAGTCGGACATCTCCGGGAGAGGCTTAGAAGACAGTCAGTCTAGCAACGTCGAGGATAGGGTGGGCCACTCACCATCGCAAACACGATGGTGGGCCCAGACGAGAGTAGATCGGGTGGAGTAAGGTTTGAGCAGGTGAGACTCTGGTAGCAACGGGATCAGTATCTGCAACAGCAATCGGAGTGGTGGGGCTTACCTTGAGTGGAGCTTTCGAACGTGGGTAGGAGTGTGGCAGGTGGTAAGTAAGAGGAGGGAATTGGAGTAGAATATGTAGGTGAGGGATTCCGCGCGCGCAATGGAAAACTCTGTCAATAATGAGCGAGCGCGCGTACCATCAGTCGGGGATCGCGCAATAGAAAACTCTGTCAATAATGAGCGCGCGTGCTATCAATGGAGGATACGCACGCAGTGCAAAATTGACAATAATAAGCGTGTATGCCATCAATAGGGGATCGCGCGCAGTAGAAAACTGTCAATAATGAACGCGCGCACTGTCAATGATAATATATAATGTTGACTCGGGTTTATCACATAGAGTATGGCCCACGTGGTATTGACGGGTCGGCCCGTACCGCTTGCCGTCGTATTCGAACCCTGCGTCAACCTATGACGGTATACTGGGCTGTATACACACTCGGCTGCAAGCTTGCAGTTTATCTAAGGCTTTTTCATTGTGTGATGAAAACTGTCATTGCATTCGGCATCTTCACTATCGATCAATCCACTTGTCATGACCGTCTACCGGTGGTCTGTCTATCCTCGGCGAAGATCACGTTCCAGGAACGGGGCTAGGCGCCTCCACTGGCTGCTGGAACGCTCGTCCTCGTCCTTATCTTCCGACCCATCCCCAAAGTTCTCGTCAAATTCGTCGATCAGATCGCATATGCGATTCATAAAGGCAAGCTGGTTACGCTGGAAGGATCGTGCAATGTTCAATGACCGTCGCACCCCGGGGTGGGCGAATGAGCGGGCGTAAAGAATGCCGGGGTATCCGGTGTGGGGTCTCGCACTGATCTGGCTGTACTCATCTGGTATCCGACCTCGGGCCTCGAAGAAGCGGGTGCGGTACTGGCGCATAGTATTCTCGAGCGGCTTGGTTAGTATGTTGATATTTGACGGGTGGATGTATTCTACTCATAGGTGTGATATCGGTGGGAGACACACGCCATATACGCCGGTGTGCGGTGACCACGTGGACAAAGTCTTGGACGAGGGACCGGATCCTGAGGGCGACCGCGCGAAGGAGTTCGGGTTCGTAGGGGGTCCGGTATTCTGCCAGAGCATGTTTGTGTACTGGACTAGACCCAGGAGCTCACACAACATATAGGCGCAGCCAGGAGGGACCTAGGAGATGAAGATGTTAGCGTGACGTGACGGGGATGTGATCTGGTCAATATATACTGCGTGGATAGCGAGGTATTCCCGCTCGTTGGCCTCGTAATAGCGATATCTCACGGGACAGAACGCAGTATCCATATTCCACGAGTCGAGCTGCTGGTTGAGGTAGGGGATACATGGGAGACTTGGCATTGTAGTGGTGTCAGGAGTAGGAAATTCGAGGACGGCTGTTGGGCGCTCATCTTGTGGACTGGTGCTTGTTGAAGCCATAGTGAGGTGGGAGAGTGAGGGATTTGTGGTACGAGGAAAGTGTCTCGACGTGGAAGCTGGTCGATGCTGGCCTGCAGACACTGGGTTAGCATATAGGATATGAATGCTCGTTGAAACTGACCTTATCGTACTGATGCACAGTGTAGGAAGTGGATCCTCGTCGAGATTAACCTTCACTTACTGGCACAGTGCATAGGTTGTGGGTTCTTGTCGATGTTGGGATAGGTGCGACATCTATGGAGTGTGCAGGATATGATCGCTCCTACATTGACTGCCTGACCTCCTCTGCTTCCACTTTATAAACTTCCTTTACCCCTGTTCATAAGCAGACGCAGTACTCTCTCGCTACCTGTCCACCTCACCTATCTAACTCGCCCTGGTGTGGCCCCTCTGTTACATCATGTATAGTAAGAGGGCCGACGTGATTGATACGTGAATATCTGAACTTCATCGTACATCCAGGTGACCATTCCTCTACCGTCTAAGTCCTTCAGTGTGTCACATACTAATATATATCTCAACACCTCCAGTTCAAAGCTCCATCTCACACTCCGCTTAAACCCAACTCTCTTCGACCAGTCACCTCGCACAGACTGTAAGCTCATACGGCGAAGTCTACATTCCACCATACGCTACACCGACATTGGCACTACGGATCTACATCCCGAATCCTTACATCCAAGCTCAAAGCCGACTCACTCAGTCGACCATCGAATCCTCACAGCCAAGCTCAAAGCCGACTCACTCAGTCGACCATCGAATCACCAACTCGCATCGCATCACAATGGCGTCTCCACGATTCGGCCAATCGCTAGAGAGGTTGGATAAGCCCGTTTCAACCCCTGTATCTTCCCGAGCTCCCTCCCCCCGCTACCACTCACCCCAGTGGTGTCCCGTCCTCGGCTCGGAGCCACCACCGGCAGACCAATAGCCGCACATCCATTATCTCGGTCTCATCCACACGCAGCTCAGACATTGAGGAACTCCCAGCCTCACAGCCAGCTGTAGGCGATATCTCATGGGTTGCGAGATATCAGGAGGCTGCCGAAATTCCCCTCCTGGACTGCCTGAGGACTGGGTTCTCACTCGCGTTGATCAACCCGGCGCTACGATCGACAATGTTCGGTACAGAGGAGATGTGTCTACATTGTATTCTGTGTGTCGCCTTTGATGACAAGAGATCCCTGGTGTTTGAGCGGCCTTTCTGCAAGCCTGGTCCTGGAACGACCTGCCAGCGTTGTGTGGCGGGTAACTTGGCCTGCTTCCGTGCACCACAGGAGACCGCTCGGCGTTCATCTTCGGCCCTCCTAAGGGACGGACTGAAGCGTCGGCCTACTATCTCATACGACGCATGGCAGGAAGCCTGCTGTTTGATTGCGCAGAATGCTGGTGTGGAGGAAGTCGCCCTTCGCCGTCAGATGGACTGGGACAATCGAGTCTTCCGGCCACGGGAGAGAGGTGCGGCCATTCAACTAGACTAGTATCCTGGAATATGGAGACAAAGTGTGGTTCCTCGTTCTGTTCTATGATTCGTTCTGCTTTAACCTCTTCAACTATGGGGAATGTATCTGGACCCTGATGTGTTATACCCTATGCTGGTATATGCTGTGGTCCTGATCTTTGAGTTTTTATTTTTTCTTTAATCCCGGTTTGGCTACCTCGACGTACTTTTACTCGGTGGTTTCTGATTGTCTCTGCTTTATCAAAATGCATATTACCGGTGGTTTGATATTCTATATTGGGTAGTTGTATATCGTATTCTAGTTATTATAGATAATGTAGAATTTGTATATATTACCATTGGGCTTTTAATATTTATACCAATTACTATCCGAATTGACATCTACCTGACTTCGACTTAAAGCCCTAAACCCGATTAACTAGAAATTCTTCTATTTGGAGGGTATGCTACCACTCTAGAATATTGCCCCTCAAGTATAGACCCGTTGTCACCTATCTATCGACCAACCAACATGTACCGACAAAGGAAATCTTATAATATCTTAGCAAAAATAACTCTATCTTCTGCCAGCCGGTATATAACACTGTTTGTACAATAAGGATGGCTCGGTCGGAGTCACATTGGCTCGTGGTGTCGCGACTTATAACTCTGGGAGGAGACAGGTTTTCATATAGTCGATGATGATGGGACTAGCCCCAGTGCCGTGACTTCGTAAAAGTATATCCCAACCGTTGATGAGTCGCAGGATATAGTTGCAGAGATCGGTGTTGCTGTATGCGACATTGAGTGATGTAAGATAGTCCATATCGAGTAAGGCCTAGACAGATACAATGTTGTCTAGGGCGTCACATGTATCGACTGTTACCACCCGACGGTCTGTTATGGTCATAACGTTGAAGAGGAATATCAGTTCGCGTGCGAACAGACATACAGCCAGATCGGTTACGTTCGGGTAGGACAGTGGGTCGACGATGGAGAGACGTGCAGTCTGGAGTGCGTCGAGGAAGCGCAGGCGATCCTGTTCTTCGAAGATAACGATATCAGGTACCGGCGGAAGAGTCCGAGTCCGAGATACATTGTACATGTAGACATTGTCGGATGGGGGGTATGGTGTAGGTGGTAGTATAGTGCGATGCGATGGGATTTGAATTGGGAGGAATTTTATTGAATAAAAGCGCAAATTATGGGGGGTTGGTCTTTCTATTGGGGATGAACTATGCTGGGAGATTAATTGTACTAGCAGGGGTGAATTTTTAGTGGCGCTCTATCTATCGTGGTTTTTTTGTTTGGAACATACTATGCTGGGTGCTTCAATACCAACCCCTATTTACCCAAATTATTGGACGTGAGTGTTCGCCGGAAGGTCACTGTCGGAGTGATTTTGAGATTATCTCGAACTTTAACTATATAACTGCTTCTATGGACTAAGTATATACAATATATGTCGGACTTCCGGTTTTGCGACCGGTGTTGTTGTTTTTGTGAGCTGCATATCGAACTCATTATCAAAGGTAGAGCAGGCTCTGATGGTGGCTAAGAATGTCGGTATACTGATATAAGAGGCTTATACGGGTCCTCTAATAGGGGATCCGGCTATGCTCCAATCCAATGCTACAGAATCTGTTCTTACTGCTTATGTGTTCCTAGTAGAACCTCATAATCTCTAAGAGAAAATTGCTTAGCTTGGATACTATAGTATAAGATGTTTAATATTGTAGAGAGGCCTATAATTAAATCGATAACTCTGCCTGTATTTTTAAAAATTTCCTAAATTGATATTTTCTAATATTGCTTCTTGCTTCATACAACATATATCATATCGGCAGGTCGTATACGAACAGGTTCGGCTCGCGACGCTATACTTCATAATGATGATGATGATGATGATGATGATTAATTCACTAACCCGATTTAACTCGCTATTACATACATGCTGCTATGCGGAAGTAGCGTCCCTAGAGCCTCCTCTTCGACGACAAATGATAGTGCATCCCCAGTATCCAACCACCCTGTATGCAAGACTCAGTTTTCCCGAGGTGCTGCAACCTGAATTGTAAGGCGACAAACCGGCCGGCATAGTTAACTAGTGCAAACAATACAAAAGAAATTGTAAAGAAAGTCAATTCATCGCAGAGTGCCCCCTCTCTCTGCAATACAGCTCTCACTTCGGTCACTTCTCTCACTTCGCTTCCCCTGGCTCCCCGATTCGCCGAGTCCCTGTATCACCAGGACCGCCAGTTATGCATCCTGCATCATACATCATACCCGCAAGTCGTATACAAATAGGTTCGGATCACGACGCTATGCTTCGTCGTCAGTAATAGCCGATCTCTATGTGTTTTGTTAGCGTGAGGTGATATTGCGAACTTAAACATATCACAAAAACAGTCCAGATCCCATTGCAATCAGGACAAAGGACTACTAACGATCTTGTCCGAAATGGTCCAAGGCTCTCTCTCTCTTACTATAAGAATCCCTGGGATCTTACTTCTCTCTCTCTCTCCTCTCTCTCTCTCTTCCCTATCTAAGATCTCTACTAACAATCAGGACAAAGGACCACCAACAATCACGTCCGAAATGGTCATGCGCATATGGTCTTTTTTCGTCAAAGGCTAAGCTGGAAAGGGTCAAAATCCCATTACAATCGCCATAGGAATCCTATTGAAATCGGGATATCGGGACAGACGGGTATCAACAATCAAGACAAAGTACCCCCAACAATCTTGTCCGAAATGGTCCCTTGGGTATAGACTTTTTTTCTGAATGTCCGAACTTCACATACGTGACCTGTTACAGTTTTCAGACTCCTCTGCGATATTATACCTACCTTTATCTTCCATTTAAAATGGAGAGCAAAAAACTGAAGCTAAGGTAGGACGTTCCAATGCGCCAAGCTCTATACCGGGTTTTCTGATGCAACAAGAAATAGAAAGGGAACTTCTCGATGTTCCGCGACAATCTGAGAAGACGTGGAATTCATCGATTTGTTCCAGGTAAAACACTCTATATAGTGAAACTGGATGGAATCTAACCAATTGTCGGAGTTTCGATAAACTTCATAAATTGTTGACAAAAATATATTTTAGACTTTATCGACCTCTTACATGTTGATCGATACCTACACTTTTATATCCGCCCTACTTTCTGACCGCGGTTAAAAACGGATCGTGCTAGGTATGGACAATATGAGATTTATAATAATGGTACAAAAGGCGACGATAATAAAAACAGATCAAATAATTTATATAAAGTCAGAAGCACACGTATAAGAGTCAACGTAATCAGATAACAGTGGCTGGACAAAGGACAGCCTGGATCGTACAACCTGAGTATAACTAAAAGAGAGACATATACTATCTATCAAGTTGAAAAAGAAAAAGAAAATAACCAGAAAAACGCAACATATACCTATCACTTATACCCCCTCTTATCAGTTACCACCCGGCTTGACATGTATACCGCATACCGGGCAGTGCTCGGTAAACTGTGGCATTAGACTATCAAGGCAACGGGGGTGGAACCAGTGGCGGCAGTGCGGACGGAGGGAGACAACCTGATCTCCTAGCTGGACGGCCTTAGCACAAATAATACACTTGAGCTTTCCAGCATTGGTAGCAGCGACAACGCCTTCCATATCCGTAGTAAGTGGCTGCTGGTGTAGGCCGGACCGGATAAGACTCCACCCGGTCAATTGATCACCAGCACCGTCAAGTCCGGGGTTTATATCCGAGCCCTGGCCAGACTCAGATGACGAGATTGCTACATAAGGTGTGACAACTGAATAAGGGCCCTGCCAGTTAGGGGGCTGTGTGACACCTTGTGGAACTGTAGGCCAGTGCAGAAGCACGCCCATACTATATTCCAATTGGGCGTCTACCGCAAGAGTAGGAAGTCCGAGTATCTGAAGCCAGAGGGGATAGACCTCACGGAAGGTCTCGTTTATATCCATAAACGAAAGGGTTGTCTCATAGATCTCGACGAGCCTCCTAAGGAAGGTGACTACGTCGTGATGGAAGCCAGTGTTGTTCGGACCGCCGCTTTGGAAGAAGGTATTCAGGAGCATCCAGAGATCCCGCGTCGCGTTGCTAACCGCTCCAGCTGCGCGGGCTCGGGCCGCTCTGTCTAGAAATGGGTTTTGTGAGTCGCGGTAGAACTCTAATGATTCTCGGAGCCCTGCGAGGAGAGCGTTGCGGACTTCCGGGGTCACAGGCCGGATATTAGGGGCGGCACGTTGACAATCGGCCGCGATAGAAGACAGCTGTGCCCGAAAGCTTCCGACCACCTGGCTATGGTCATTTTCGTCGAGGATCGTGGGATAGTTGTGCTCATTCCAATAATGTTCGATTCGTTCAGATAACTCCCAACGAAGGGTAACACCCAGTCGGTAGAGTACCAGTGAGGTAGTCCTAAGGTGTGGGTTTAGGGCAAGAGCAGCCCATGCGCTAATGAGACTTAGAGCGTGCTCCCGTAGATTGGCTGGGTCATAGGAGTCGCGTACTGCATGGATACGCCGTATATCCGCTACCGTCTCTGCACCCACAATGCGGTTGCGAGCCCTGATTATTGTCTCAAAAAGGTCCCAAAGTTGGGCGATAAGGTTGCTAACCTCGGAAAGCGGGGTATTGGTATTTAGGACGAAAGCGCGGGTGGCTAAGAGTCCTCGACGATACCCAGCATTCCAATCCTGCGGAGGCCCTATAAGATTGGGCTCTTCGGGTATGGATGGGAAGCCGTTAATAAACCCTAGATACCGTGTAGTGATCCGATGGTATTCGTCCCTCCAGGCTGTCGCTCGAGTGAGGCGGGGAAGTACTGGTGGTTGACTTAAAGCGCGTTTGGGAGGCATGATTGGAGTCTTGAAAGCAGGTAGTTAAGAAAATGTAGAGTTAGGAAGATTTGGCTTAGATACTCCTATAATATATAGGAGGTCGAAACCAATTTGCACTCGAACTTAGGTTTACAAGCTGGCGCTATATTGCTTTGTATACTATTCTATGCTTTATTGAAGTACTGGGTAGAGTTTCTGTAAGTGTAGAATACCGCGAGTAGTATTCTTAGGATACTAGACTAGTTTCTAATTTAACTTGTACATTGGTATGTTTCATTTTCTTTAAAGGACGAAATAAATAGCAAATGGTTCTAAGGTCCTTAAGACTAGGAGGCTTCTATTTTGGTCTACTCTTAGAAGTTCAATCCTTGAAATAACATGGTGGACAAAGACCCGGGCTAGGAATGGTGTAAAGGTGCCAATTGGCTTTGGGTTTAAGGATAGATATGGTTTGCACCACGAGTTTCATTGTTACTGTTCATGGTTGCAACGGGGAAGACTTTACTTCTTTGATATTGCATCGTCTTGGTCTAAATCCCTGGCCAGCTTTCGATTACTTATTGGGTTGTAACTATATCCTGATACTCAATACGATCTTTATGATTGGTTGAGGTATGATTGTTTGTTATATGGTATAGATGATAAACTATGTGTATGAAGGATTACTCTGCTTAGGGGCTTACGTCCAAAGAAACTTGCGGTTTTATCTTTTTTTAGTCTTTTCACGAAAATAACCTGGCTAGGCTTAGGTATGGCCCGATGGCTATACACCCAAAGAAACTCGGAGTGTTGTCTTTGTTTGGCTTTCTCGCGAAAATAAACCTGGCTGCAACATGGCATGGCTTGGTGGCTTTACGTCCAAAGAAACTCGCATTCCAGCTTTTTTTAGTTTTGCACGAAAGAAATCTCGACTGTAGTATAGTAGCGCTCAATAGCGATCAATCAATCAAAGTGCAATTAACCTGTTACAGTCTAGCCAGTTACGTATGACTATGCATACGCTTCTTCTAACCGAAGCAAGAACACGAAACCAAGCCCTGAACTGGAGGCGCTTAGTGCTTCTATATAGGTGCCGAAGCAAGTGGTCTTACTGCTAGTGCTTAATATATAGAAGTTGATAAACTTACAGACTTAAGTTGGAGAGAGAATGAAAAAATTGACATTTAGCAAACGATTTTAAAATCCGGCCTAAAAATCAACCTTATGGGTGGAGCTGCTGCAGTATATGCCGCTGCCCGATCCATTATGTTCTGGGGTTCTACTCGCCAAGCCTAAGAACTGTTCGTCCAATTAGGTAGCCTAGAGTTATTACCCGGTCCACGTGCGGTCCCGGTCGTAACGGTAGCCCCGATAAAAAGATCTAGAGTTTTATGCTTAACAGTACCTGTCTTAAACCTTGTTTGCTTATATGGAGATGTTGGTATTAGGCTTTAAGGCTAATTAACTACCTGGAATGATTATCACCCGACTTTGGCTTATGGTTATGTATTACCAAGGTGCTGCAATTATTTTGTTCGGAGAATACTAGTATTATATTACAAGGCCTGTCAAATATGCTGATTGTCAACCTGCTAACCCACAACTCTAACATGTCCTTGAAGATATCAAAAAAAAAAAAGACTCCTATACTATGCGACCGGGCGTATATCACTGTTTGTGGAAAGGGGTTACCACTGTGAACTTCGCCTTGCGGCCTTGCCTTAAGACGTACAGCGGTGGGAGGAGACAGAGTTTCATGGTGTGGATGATGGGAGGAACGGCCCCAAAGTCGGGACTGATGAGAAGGCACGTCCAACCGTGGATGAGTCGGCCAGCATCCTCGCGGAGATTGGCGAAATCCAAGGAAGCATGGAGAGATGCAATGTCATCTAGTGCATCGAGAACATCCATTGTGACTAGGCGAAGGTTCGAGTGGGTCATAAGGTCGAAAAGGAATGTGAATTCATTGATGTATCTGTGTATGACATCGTCGGTAACGTAGGGGTGGGACTCGGGGTCTATGATGATGAGGTCCGCATCCTCGAGTGCGTCAAGAAGGGGTTTGCGATCATATTCGTCGATAATAACGATTCCAGATGCCTGTGAAAGGGTTCTGGCTCGAATGACACTGGCTATGGCGGAACGGGTGTATGGAGGGTATACTGTAGCTAGTTGCATAGTGCGGATGCTGAGGGATTTGAGTTGGGAGGAATTGAACAAATTGTAAGTGGTGTGTGTAGGGGATTCAGTTTACTGTTAGGAATGAACTGTATTAGTAGATTAATTGTGCTGGTCCAGCTGAACTTTTGGTGGCGTACTGGCTATCATATTTTCTTTGTTTGGGCTGTGTAGTTGGCTCTTGCTACATTCGGTGCTTCTAAGTTTCGGTACGGTGTCTTATTTGCCGAAATGTTTGGGTGTCGGTTTTGTGGGAAGTAGATCAATTTTGGATGGGTCTCGAGCGAGTAGGTGACTGCATTTGTGGACTAGTAGATTATATGTTGTACTATAGTAGCTTTCGAACTGGGATAGTTGTCTTAACGCTCCCTGCTCTGCATGGTGTAGATTTGAGAGCAGCCGGATTGCTTCCTGTTCGTTCGGTGTCGATATTCCTTGATCCTTCCAGTCGAAGGTCATGGTTGGTTCATACCCCCTCTCTAGCCCTCTGGCCGGGGAAGGGGCCGCAGAAGCGGAGGTATGATAGAAGAAGAAAGGTTGGTTTGTGATCGGTATTTATCAATTTAATTAAAAGTCTGTTTGGATGTATGATACAGCAAGATATATAATGCATATACCAATGTGGTTGTACTTGATATACCGGCACTTTGTAATAGAATCAGGAATCTCTGACTTTTGTAATCGCTAGCAATTCACTTCGGCCTCACTTGACTGTGGTGTTCATATAATACTGAGTACAAAAAATTCTATATCTATTAGTTGTATGCATTAAGGAATACGAAGGTCAACATGCGTGCTGCGGCGGGTATTATCCACCGTGACGATAAGGTCTTATCTATCCGGCTGCCATAGTCGCAACTCCACCACCCCAGCAAAAAACGTCTAGATTTTCATTTATGATTCAAAGCCTTTCTACCTGGGTTCAGTATTAATGAAGCTCACAGTGGACAGTTTATATACACGTTTAGAACTTCTGAAATTTTTATATCGATCCGACGCGGTTTACAGGTAGGACCCAGGGTAGGAAAATAGCCACTTGGCTGTCTTAGTTTGTATTAACTCCCTAAAGTTTCCCATAGTAAAGGTGACCTATAAGGCATACGCTGTATTCTACACTTTCTACCTGGGTTCTATCTCTATAATTTCTACAGTATATCCTAATTCTTACTATAAAGGTGCTAGCAAAGTTACAGAGGAATTTGATCAAGTTTGTGGTAACTATTCAGGTTTTGCATTAAAGTGCTGTGGTTGGTCGGCCGCTCTCTGTCGGTCGGGTAGTCTCCACCATCGCAACTACATCAAAACTATCTCCATATTTAATAGTATACTATATAATACCTACCTGGGTTAAAGTGTTGCTACCTCGATACCAGATATATAACTATACTCTCTATAATCTGTAAAAATTTGAAAGTTGTTAGACCTCATAATAGGTCGTAACCCAGGGTAGAACGCTCTGGTCCAACCATTTGCTTTTCGCCCCACATACGCTAGCACCGTTCTGGATAATAACTTCAGCCATGGATTGCTCACCGTCCTACCTGGGTTCCGATCTTGAAATTTGGAGGACACCTAGAGAGCAGGGTTAAATATCGTCTGGCCAAGTTTCATGAACATCGAGGCTAAGCTGCGGAGTGAACCCAGCCTTGTCATTTTGCATGAATGGGAGGGTATCCACATTTGCGGGAACCAACCAGATCTAATTAAAACCGGTAAGTAATGTATTGAAACCCGCACTCAGGCTCGGTCGTCCACCCCCCATGGGATAGGTCGTCCTCTTCTCAATCCCCTATCACACCCTGAATTACTTATACTCTCTCCGATACTCTATTACCTATCTTATAATAGATATCCGGTTTATATAGATAGATAGATAGATAGATTATCTTTATCTCGACTATAGTAGTATACTATAAATCTATATCTTTTAAATTAACAAATATTAATCTACTAAGTTAAATCCGTAGTCTTTATTATATAATACTATCGCTAATCTATACCGCTTAGGAAGTATTCGGAGTCTATACCCCTTTTTAAACTTAACTATAAACCCTACGATTATATAAAATTAATATAATACTTTATCTATTATACTATTTTATATCTATATTTTATATCTATATATATCCTTTAAACTTATCATATATCTAAATCTCTACTTATTAGATTTAATATTATATTCTTAATTATATTACCTATTAACCTAAATCTTTATTAACATTCGTCTATAGTAAGCCTTAATAACTCCCGCCGATTAAGTCCCGCCTTAGCGCTAAGTAGGAGCTAAAGCCCTAGTTTTAGTACTACCTTAATATTATTATACCGACTACTTTCCTATCTACGTAATTTTCTAGCCTAAATAGGTATACTCGCACCACTATAGTACTAGAATTCTATTTAGTCCTAGAATACCGGAACTAAAAATTACCTAGTACTATACGACTTATTAAGCCCTAGTCTATAGTATAAAAGTAATAGAATATTATATTAATCGTTTATAAAATCCCTTTTTTATAGCTCTTTATATATATCTTAAAACTTATCTTTACTATCTTATAATGAAGATCCTTTTATATTATTCTTAGCTATTATTAGTATTAACTTATACTATTTAATATATTCTTAACCTTATCTATAAGAACAATAATATAAAGAATATATTTGATTAAGTTATATAAAACTAATCCGAAATAGGTTATAATTATCTAAGATATCTAGAATATCTAGAATACCGAGTCTTCTTTTAATCTACTAATATAAGATAGCTATATTTATTAGGATATATCATTATAGGAAGTGCTATAGTCCGGTATATAGTATAGGATAAACCCCGGAATAGGGATATAAATAAAGATAGGGAATTAGTAGTAGTAAAACTAAGTAGGGATATAGTTAACAAAATACGGTAATTAATATATAGATTATTCACATAGTAATTAGGGAGAAATATACGGTTTTTAATTATATAAACTAAAATTGTATATATTATTAAAAGGGGGATCCTTATACTAAGCCCTATATATATATTTATAGATTCTAATGATTTTATATTTTAGACCAATGTAAACTTCTGCATTTTGGACCAATGCAAACGTCTGCATTTTGGTCCAATCTGAACTTCTGTATTTTGGACCAATGTAAACTTCTGCATTTTGGTCCAAACCGAACTTCTGTATTTTAGACTATCTCCTCCTTTGTATTTGTACCTATAGCTTTCTCTTATATTCTCCCCTATATTCTACCTAACCTAGTAATTTCTGACCGCGGTCAGAAATAGACTATACTATCGTACTGTATATACTCTATACAACCCTACAACTTCTGACCGCGGTCAGAAATCTACCCCAATATCGTAATATCTATATAATATATACGATTTCATATCTTATCGTTATGACCGTGGTCAGAAAAAGGGTTATATATCGAGAGGTTTGATTTGCTAGCCGATCTAGTAGCTAGGAGGGATCCTGAAAAGGCTCTGCTCAAACTTTCGGGTATAGTGTCCTGTTCGCCGAGTAGACTGTGGGAGCGGACGCCGTGACTGGGGACCCCGAGCGCTCGCGTGTGATATCCGTCCCTGGGCGACTCGGTTTAGCTCGGCGCGGGAGAGATTTACGTCCGCAAGGTAGATCGGTACGTCCTCCTGAGCACTAGACGGGCGATTAGTAGAACGAATGTGGATCGAAGCGTTTGGAGGGACGGACCTCATGATCTGAATCTTCATATTCCTCGCTTTGTAGCGGTACTTTTTGGCGTCTCGGCCAGGGTGGATCCAGTCGGATTTGGGGCCCTTGGTCCATCCGATATAGTTGTCGTTCCAGATTGCCTGCCACGCGGTGCCGAACTCCCCGAGGAGCTCCTCGAGCTTCGCCACTTCGGCCGGACGCCAGTGGCGCGATGGGGTCCCGAATCGGTGCACCGGAACCTCGGCCATCGGGGGGTTCGTTGTAGCGCGCCGCGCTGGACGCTGATCGGGCTGTTCCATAAGAGCCTGAACCGCTTGCTCCTCCTGGTGTATTCGGGCCCTGAGGTCGGCATAATCTAGATCTGCGCTGCTCTGTGAGCGGGACCGTGACGGACGATGTTCAGAGTCTGCGTCAGTATATGTGTCGGTATGAGCACTAGAGATAGTACTGCCGTAAACGCTCGGTGCCGCATTGGGGAACTCAACGGCATAGAGGGGTATCTGGCTACGGTCTGCCTGGTGTAGAGATGACTGTGACCAATGAGTTGGTCGTGGAGTAGCCGGTGCTACCCTTGTACGTTTGTCTGTAGGCTGGACTGCTGTGGATAGGTCTGTCCTCGGACGCTTCTGTGGACGTTGGTATGGACTAAGCGGCGATTGGATGCTGGTAGGAGAGGATGGCTCTACCTGGTGGGTAGTAGACGGCCTAGTAGATGATACGAACGGCGATAAAGTGACAAGAGGGGGTGCAACCGGTACTGGAGTGCTAGGAGACGACGGGACTTTGGACGGTGTGGTCGGTACTAAGGTTCTGGGGGATGACGGAACACTAGACCATGGTACCGGTGCTGGAGTTCTGGGAGACGACGGAACTCTGGAAGATGCGACTGGCGTTGGATCTCTGCAAGATGCCGAGGCTCTACCTCTAGGTAGTATATCCCGAGGACGCTTAGTTAGATGCTGGGTGCTCCATATTTGGTCGAGCCGGGTCTGGTTTGAGCTGATAGAACTAGCTCGCCGCTGGCTACTCGAGCTGGATCGACGAGTGGATGGCTTGGAGAGGCTCCTCAGACGACCCTTCCCTTTATCTTGTGTACTTGGGGAAGTCCACTCGGGACTCTCGGAGCTAGCAAGGGACCGTGGAAGAATAATAGCCATTTAGATTAAGAGTGAGATAGTGATTAAGGGGAAGTAGTAAATAACTATCGAATAAACATTGGATTCGACTCTAACTTAAAGCGGTCTATGGTAAACTCGAGTTGGATAATAGATCCAAGGGAAACGCAACCCTCTACGCCCGTGTTTCGAATATAGCCTAGTAAATCGGGTGAAATCGGTAAATATCTCGCTCATAGCTATACCTTTCTGATACATCGAATCCTGAGCCATAAGAAGGTAAGAATCAGGGGGCTTAGGGGGTTTAGGGGGTTTCGGGGGTTTCGGGGATTTGGGCCGCACGTTTTCAGGGTTAGATGGCCTCCCCGCTAGATATAGATATAATTGACTAGATATAGCTCGACTATTGTTGGTTTACGGATACTCAATCTCTATATCTTCGAGATGTCCATCTGATCTACTCCTATTCTAGCCAATATATCCTACCCATTTCTAACCATCTCGGCTTCCTCCAAATTGAACGCTTAGGCTACAGGGTTGAGAAGATCACGTACCACGATCATGGTTGGCCGCCCACGAAAGTATCCGAATCGAGCTGCAGCGCTTGCGGCCCGGCGCCAGCGGTATTCCCAGCGACGGCAGGCGAATACGATCTCCCAGGCGGAGCTAATCCCGTATGACGCTACCAGGCAGCCGCTCCAGCAGCCGCTACAGCAGATTACCTACTTCCAACATACCTCGCTCCTACCGTTAGAGGCGAATACAAGTGAGACTACGCCGCTTACCTCGACTGTCCCGGATACATTTACCGCGCTTCGGGCCGAGATCGACCACGAGCGATTCGGAGTAAGCGACGGGAACCACTTCGATCTCGACGCGACAGCGGGCGAGTGGATGGTCGGTACCGACGAGGTTTCAGAGGAATTGATCCCCCCCAGGCCGAGAACACCCCTGCGCCAGGTCCCGAGCAGCCCTATACGGTACAGTCGACAGAGGGTCAAGTAGTATCACCTCAGGTCCAGCAACTCGCCTGTAGAATCGCGCAACAGCTCCTCCGGCACCACGGGTGCCCGGCTAACGGCCATATAGAGCCGGAGGCGACCGTGGCGTCGGGACAGCGGATCATCAGCCTCCGGGAGGCGACCCAGCAGACTGTCGTACCAAGTGTACTAGATAACCCGACCTTCCAGCAACATCCTGCCCCCTGGGCCGATGAATTCGCGCCGATGGTCCGTCGGCAGCTGCTCTGCGGCCTAGGTCCTAATGCGACAGCGTCCCCAGGTAGCCCGGGGCCACCGCTCTGCGGCCTAGGTCCTAATGCGACAGCGTCCCTAGGTAGCCCGGGGCCACCGGCGGTAGATCCAGGCCTCGCGAACGCAGCGGTGCCTCGAACGCTACCAGTGTCGTTTGACATCGACAGTAGTGGTGGGTGGGCGACGAGCCTCGCCGTCGCGCGACAGGGACTCTATTGGCTAGCGACCCGACCAGCTACAAGCACCCTCACCAGCTCCCTCCACCTCGACCCGCTCCTCGTCGAGTGGACTGATACCGATACCCAGCGGCTACACCACCGGCACGTCCCCGTACACCACGTCCCACACCTCCCACTCGGGCGGCTACGCGGCTTTGAGGCTATGGAGATCTTTATCATCTTTCCTCGGCTCTACCAGCCATCCCGGAAGGCCTTCGTATTAACCAACGAGGAGTACTCGGAGTGGATGGATCATATCATGCTCCCAGCTCTAGTCCAGACGCTACCCCAAGAGACCATCAGCCGGCTACCGGGGAGTGGGGAGGAGGCGATTAAACGGGGAACAGCAGCCGCAACTGAGGGTACCACAGCCTCGGCTTACCAGCAAGCGCGGATCCAGCTCCTAACGCACTTTATCGGCCCTACGGCTCTCGGTGCCGTATGGACGGCGATCCAGGATCGCCTCCCCCTATGGCTCACACGGCCAACGAGTACGGCCAGGCGAGGCTGCTCCTCACGTCAAAGAACCTCAAGGGCGAGACGCGGCGGGATACCTGGTCACAGATGGTCCAGGGGTGGGGGAATATATGGCGTGGTGCGGTAGATGATCGGTTTATAACAGGCTCCTTTTTCGACGTGGCAAAGGAGGTAAGCCTTCCCAATCAGATCCTGGGCCAGGAAGCGACCGGATCACAGCATGCCTTAGAGCTCACATGGCGCCGCTGTTGCCTCAGTCAGTTCGAGGAATGGCTGGTACAGACCGAGATGACGCTTCAGAACCAGACCGAGCTAGCAACCATACCTTCTCTATCGCCCTCTCTATCGCCTACCGAGCCAGTTTCCCCTACGCCGAGTCCCACGCAGAGTCCTATACACAGTTCCACGCCATCTCCAGCTCCGACTCAGTCGACTACGCCGTCACCGAAGCCGGTACGGTCACAGTTCTGGCCCTGGGCGCTCCTCCGAGATACCGGGAGCCTAACCGTGGAGACGAAACGCCGATCGACCCTCCGGCAGGCCGGCCTCCTATACGTACAACTATACAATACCTCCAAAGAGATCTTCGCGGTAGGAAAGCAGTACCCGTTTGGGAATGAGGCGCTGGATACTCTCGCACTCCCGGCAGCGCTCGTCCAGGTATTACAGCATACGGGCGGAGGCCGTGCCTACTCCCGTGCCACGTTACTCCGTGGGTACCTCCATACTAAGGCACAGTATCACCTAGCTCTATAGGGGGCCCGGGGCCGATCGTACGGAACCCGCGAGGAGTACCGGGTAACGGCGACGCTGCTATCCGCGCTTAACGGGGAGATAGAGGCACAGGGAGGAAACGGGGTGCTCTATGTCCCCCCGAGGGATGTTGCACTACCGCCGTTCTACTGCCATACGACCGACGACGCAGTCTAATAGCTCAGATGGAATCTTAACCGTCTCTGCCTCGCAGTAGAGCTCGTCTACAGTATTAGTCCGGTAAGACAGCTCTACTGGGAATATTCGAGGGTGGCGATGGCCTTTCTCCGTGTACTACACTACGGGCTAGGGGGATAAGGGGCCTCCCCCTCCCACTGCCGGGAGCTCTGGATCAGTGAGCGGACCTAGCCGCCGGGGGAGGGCGAGGATACCGGCACGATCATCGAGGGCCTCGGCTAGAGGGAGACTATACAGCGGTATAGGTTCGCCTGGTTCCTAGATAAGTTTGACTGGGGACTGATGCTGTTCCGGGAGCCGTACCGGGCTAGGCTCGCTATCCGGCTGCCCTCGCTCCTAGGAAGTTATCTCCCGCGCTACGGGGCAGTACGGCAGCTGCTTGACGACTGGGTATTCCTCCACGACGTATTCCGCCAGCTGGAGGCCTGTTGGGGGCACCGCCCCCGGGCGCGGAAGATCCTCGTCCTCCTGGCCGATCTCTACCTTATAGCGTTTCGACGAGAGGTCTTCTAGCGGCTGTCGAGCGTCGAGCGTCTCCGAGGGCCTCGTGCCGCCGCGGCGCTCGAGGGCCGCCAGCCGCTAACTATAGAGGCGCTCTGTGACGTCCTACCGGGCGGGCGGCTGGCCGACCATATATACCCGCTAGGCGCTAGGGGGATCCAGATTAAGCACATCGATACCATGTTCGCGTTCCTCTAGGGGTGGGACGGTGACGGGAGGCAGGGAGAGCTCGTCCAGCGATAGCATTGGGCGTCCAAGCCGTACCGCGAGCTATTTCGTCGGAGCTTCGACGCGATCGCAGCGACGTACTCCCACGAGACGGTATAGGAGTGGCGGGGGCTAGTTCACGCCACCTTTATCCGTACCCACTGGGTACTGCCGAACCCAAGCCAACGCGAATTCTGGCCTAAGGGGAGAGGGGGCCGGCTCCCGCTATGGTGCAGTACCCACCCGAGCCTCGTCCAGTACGTATGCCGGGAGATGGCGGGGCAGCTCTACCACGAACCGGTAGTATTCCGCTGGACGCCGACAGACCTACCGACGTTACCTCGCACGGGGTGGGAGAGGAGCACAGAGGCCTTTGGGACGACATTACCAGTCGGCTGCCGGGTCGAGGTAGTCCTGCCCTCGCTACCGACCGACAACATTGAGGACTGGGTATATGAGGACTGGGTATACGAGGACACTTCGGCCACGACGGCCGATAGGGGACCGCTGATACCGCCGCTAGATGAGGAGGGGGATATTGCACGCTGGATCTGGGCGCGGTACCCGCCGCGGTACGCGCTACGGAAGCTGACCTAGTAGGCGAGGTGGAGCCTAGAGAACCTGATCAGGCAGCCGTGGCTAGTAACGAGCTACAGCGACGATATCTTTACCCGGATTCGGGCGGTAGACCAAGCCCGCTGCGAGGCCGTCGGGCTGCAAAAGTTCCCGAGGTTGAAGCAAGTAGACGCCGAGGAGCTAGACGAGCTTGCGGATCTAAACTCGATCCGAAGGGAAGAACAGCGCGCTATCGAGCAGTCTGCCCGGTACCGCGAACTGGCGGCGAGAGCAAAGACGGCGCTCCGGAAGGTCTGGAAGTATGATACGTAAATGAAGGATATAAAGAAAGGTAAGATCGTTTAGGGTACCAGGGTAATTGGCCGACGGGAATATACGAGAATCGCTGAAAAGAGAGCGTTAGCGCGGGAGGAATTTTTAAGGCCGATCGAGGAGATCCTTACCGAATTAGATCCGGAGCGATTTCCTATAGAACTGTTTGTGGCCTCGAGAAGGGAGCGTATGGCGGAGACGGGGGGGAGACGGGTAAGAGTCTCGAGAAAAAGAGATAGACATCATAGATACCAAAGAAACGAGGCTAGGAGATTATTTAGTGCTAAGGGGGAAAAGGGGGAGGGGCAGGGTCATCTAACTGAGCTAAGCCTAATCAATATATATCAATCTAAGCTAAAGATTACTTCTAGAATAAGATACGCCTATGGTTCATATAACGGTTTCTGACCGCGGTCAGAGATCGTACTAGGCTAGGGAACTTGAAATATATTAGGCTACGTGGCATGATACGGGGAGATGATTGTATTCCTATCTATAGCTGTCCTGGTATAGGAGATGGAGATAGTAATACGCGTAATGCAAACGAGCGCGAGTGAATTGGAGAGAACTATCTATCACATATCGTTGAGGATAGTGTACGCAATGTAAACGAGCGCGACCATATCAGCCTCGAAAACCGACCAAACACCATGTAGGCTATATAGGATCTCCCCCGGTATCGAAGTTGAGAAAGGACCTTGGGAGAATCGCAAATCAATTACTACCTATAAGTTGCGGCGTAGGCGAGGGACGATGTGGATTCCTTCTGAATTTTGTAGTCAGAGAGGTTGTAGGCGAAGGACGATATGGACTCCTTCTGGATATTGTCGAGGTCCACCTCGTCCTTCTGAATGTTGTAGTCAGAGAGGTTGTAGGCGAAGGACGATGTGGACTCCTTCTGAATGTTGTAGTCGGAATATATACGGCTATCTTCTAGCCGCTTACCGGCGAAGATCAGAGGGTATTAGTTAGGAGGAATCTTTATATCTACAGATCTTAAATAATTGCGAGGTATACGATAGTAGAGGACGCGACGTATACATAATCTCTCCCCTCTCACCCATCTCTCACTTCAGTTATCTCTCACCCATCTCTCGCTTCAGTTATCTCCCTTCTCACCTATCTCTCACTTCTCAGTGCTTACCTAGCCTAATACGTATCGTTTTCTGACCTAGGTCAGAAACTACTAGAAAGCAACTCTAGTATCTGCCCCTATCGCCGATTATAGTAATATCAAATAGTCATAACCGCTCATTTCTTCTTCTAACTTCACCGTAGACGTATCACCCTCTGGCCGCGGTATGATTTTCTGACCGCGGTCAGAAAGGGGAGCCTACCTAGCTTTCGCCTCTAGGGATTTCGCGATCACGCGAATACTAAACTCTACACTATATCCTACGATATACCAATGACGCGGGATAACCTTGTTCTGTAGGCTAATACGTGCTTTTTTTGAAATTCGAATATTATAGGGCTGATAGACAACCTATCATATGAATAAAGAATAAAGACGTAACCAGCTCAGGGGATCCGCTAGAGATTAAAAGATCAACCCATACCGAGTAAGAGAAAAAGCAAAGATATACCGCCGGGAGACAAATCATAAAACCTATACTAGGTAGGAGAGACGGAGAGACAGAGATATAGCCCCTCTAACTAGTTATGTAACCCTCATCGTCCACGCCGTCCCCGCCGAACTTGGCGATCCGCTTGGGCGTGGGGGGTGGTCAGGACCGCCCGCTGGGCGCTTAGAGGAGCCGCGTAAGGAGTACTGTCGCCCGCTTTTACTCTTGCCTTTCAGCCTAAGGTCCTGGTAGTCTTCTATCGATAGCCGATCTACGTAGTCTGGGCCGATGCCAAGCATGTGGCTGAGCAGTTGGTTGGCTAGTTACTCAATGGTCGCGTCACGGTCTTCGGTGGACTCGGGGACCTATCGCTCGAGGAAGGGGCGGTATTGGGCCGCAATCTATGGAAGCACCTTAGTCGTGTTGTTGAACTCCATATACCGCTGGATGGTATGGTCTATGAATAGCAGCCACGCCCGTTGCTCCTCCCGCTAGCCGAGGCGGTGGATACGCCCGATCGTCTGGAACAGGGAGTTGTGGTTGAGAGCTGACTCTATCAGGACGATACGGCTGCATTGTGAGTGTATGTTGAGGCCGGTAGCCCCGCAGTTGTAGGTGGTAACGAGGACCTGCGTGGACGAGCTAGGGTCGTTAAAGCGGGCAATGGCGTTTGAGCGCAGACTGTTGGGTATACCGGCCCGGACCACCATAAAGTCAAGGGGGAGGGTGCCGAGAAACATTTGGACCAGCTATATGGTAAGGGGCCAGTGGCAGAAGATCAGGAACCGGGGCTGCGAGCTCCCCGAGTTGAAGACGCCTTACTACACTAGGATATGGAGGAGGTAACGGAGACGGGGGCTCTGATGCGCGAGGTAGCGGGCCACGGCGATAAGGTTGGTGGGCACCGACGCCGACGGATCCTCGGTGGTTCGGGACTAGAATAAGCCAAACCCCTGATCGTCCCCGCGCTCCGTGAATCGAGAGATCTCTGCGGAGAGGACGCTGGAGGGCGAGCGTTGTAAAAACCGATCAAGCTTAGGCGATACCGAGAGGTGGCAGAGTATCCGGAAGGTGGCCTAGTTCATGGTAGTAGGGCTATCCGCTGATGCGGCGGAGGCCGCGGCAGGAGTATCGCTGGGGGCCTGTAAAGGCTTTCACTGAGGATGTTAAACACACGGTTATGGATATCCTGGGTGTACCGGGTGTACCGAAGCTCGACGGTCGAGATGTGAAGGCGCGGGATGTCGTCGCCGATGACGATCGTAGTACCGTGGGGCCCAATCATCTGGTTACCGGCCTTACGGGTCAGGCTGCTCAGACGTAGGACGATAGGGAGGGCTAGGAACCCGTTCGTAGTGGAGAGTTTACCACGCCGGGCTAGGACCACCAGACCACGGGGATCTAGCAAGTAGTATGGCTTACCTTCGAGGGGAAGCTGCTCGACCGCGGACCACTAGGTATACGGCTCCAGGGGGTCGCTCGCGGCAGCCGGGGAGGGCGTGACACTAGGAGGGAACTTTTGCGGGCTATCAGCCGGGATGGTAAACTCCGCCTTCCACAGCAACGCCAGGTAGCCGCAGTAGTCCAACGCCCGGTTCTATATGGGGGTCGCGGTCAGATACTAGGTATACTGCCGGTCGAGGAGGGCGACCGACTGGTGCTGGCGTAAGGAGATGGTCTTCAGGCGGTGGCCCTTATCGCAGATCACGCGGTGGAAAGAGGCAGTGAGGTCGGAGCGGAACCGGCGGGGCTGGTGCGCAGTAGCCTTACCTGCCGAGGACGGGCTAGCCGCCTGCTCCTAGAGCTCGCTCAGTTCAGTGACGGCGGCGTTGACGCCCGGGGGATAAGGGGTGCCGACGCTATCGGTAGGCGGGGTGTGTACGCTACTGGGGGAACCTGGCTCGTCCGAGACCGACGGGGTCACGACGTCGTCGGGGTCGGGTATATCCTCATCTACGTCGGCTTCGGCGGTAGTAAGATCAAGGGCCATAGGGTCGGTCTCCTTCCGCGTGGCCTTCCGGGCGCGGTACGTCGGCGCGCCATTCTCGTCGATCTCGGTGGTGGTACGCGTGGCCTAGGTATTGTATGATAAGAGGATCACGGTACGCGCCGAGGAGGTTTGATGGGGGGGGCAGCGGCCGAGGAAGGCTTGGACCTCGCCGAGTGACTCGAGCAGCATCAGCTTACGCTCGGAATCGCCAGTACGGGTTTTGGCACTGTAGAAGAGCCGGACTATCAGGGCGTCCCCAAAGTGGCGCTCGATCTCCAGGAGCCATGTATCAATCAGGGCCGAGGGCACTAGGATCAGGGTAGGCCGGTATGGGGGCCGGGGTTGGACGAGGGCCGCCTGGTAGATAAGCGTGAGTGCGGTTAGGGTCTTCCCGAGGCCACATACGTCAGCGAGGATCCCGCCGTGGAGCGGGCTGGCCTCCTACTAGAGCATCCAGGACACACCCGTAACCTGCCACGGCTTAAGGATCGTAGAGGAGACCGGGTATAAGGAGGGTGGGGTAAGTACCGGCTGCCCGTCGCTATTAACTAGAATTTGCGTATAGCGGGTTACGAGATCAAAGGGATACGTGAGACGATCGAGGGACACATCCCGGGCGCAAGTGAGCGCGGCTAGGTCAGCCAGTGGAATTGGCTTATCGTCGGCAGTCTCATCGGCATGGCCAGTAGAGGGGCCGAGAGATACATCGGGGACAGAGAGAGCGACTAACGCCGAGCTCGACGAGATCGCGGTCTACAGGTGGGGATTGGGCTGCAGGCTAGGAGGGACCTCATCGGGAGCAGCGCGAAGGACCGAATTGTTGAAGAACTCGGGGCTACAGAGGTGGCGGTAGAGCTCGTGGACGTCAGTGAGCGTAAGAGGCGCGCGGTTCAACCGAGCGGTGGTAGGCTTAAGGAGCTGGGTGGTGAGTCCAACAACTAGGTCTCGGTACTCAGGCTCCGAAGGGACGGTATCCATAGAGCTAGTAAGCGGCTCCTCGTCAGCATCGTTAGGAAGGTCCGAGGGGTATAGCTTGAGGAGGTCTAGGAGGGCTTACGTCTCATCGCGGGACTAGGCAGACGTACTATAGCTAGGGGTAAGAGTGGAGGTTAGACTAGCGGGACCAGGCCGCGAGCTCGTAAGCTCAGGCGGGACGGCGGGGCGGATGTAAGGAGTAGCGGTGAGGTAGGCTTCGAGACTACGAGCCTTTGAGATTTAGCGGGAGAAGTAGATCAGGATCTTCCAGCAGACCAGAGTCTCCTTAGCGTCGAAGTAAAAGGGGGTCTTAAGAAGTTGGCTCCGTCGGCCAAGATCCTACGAGCGGGAGAGGAGAAGGCGGCGGACGTACCATAGCGCACGGAGGTCAAAGAGATTATTGGGCTCCATATAGGGGGGTGGACAGATCCGGGGGAGATAGGGACAGTAGGACACTGCCGTATTTACCGGTATGGTTAACCGCAAGGAGAACAAGGGAGTTGCGGATAAAGCGGAGGCCTAGAGCGACCTGGGTCGAGTTGGCAAACCCAAATTTGTTGTCACGATCTCGGTAGAAGGCAATGATGATATCCCGGGTCGTATTGCACTCAGCACTGATCAGACGGTAGAGGTTTTAGGTATTGGGATAGCCGATGACGCCTGCAATGGCGGGAGCAGAGTCATCCATACGGCGGATAGCGGTAGTAGAGATGTTGATGGTGCCGACGTTCTCTAGGGACGCCTCCTTAGCCCGAGACTGCGCCATGGTTGGACGTGGTAGGCACGGCGCGACGGGAAAAGTGCGTAAACTGAAACTTGGTTAGTAACCGGAGGGAAAATAGGTAGGCGAGGGGAAGATAGGGGTACGTGAAACTAGAAGGGAACTGAAAGGAGCGAGACAAGATAAGCCACAACACGAGCCATAAAGGCTGGCTTTCTGACCTTGGTCAAAGAGACGCGATCAGTCCTATGATCATAGGCGGCAGGGTCTCTCGGACGGTAGGGAAAATGGAGGAGAAGGTTTGCAGGGGGGTCGACAGGGGTTTAAATACCTGGCAGATATGAAGTTGTTTGTCTGATAGTCGACGGCCGAAAGCAGGATAGTCTGGGGAAAATACAGAGGAAGGTTTGCCAGGGGGGGCAGCAGCTTAAATAGATCTATGGCCGGGAGTTGCTTGTATAAGGAAAGGGAGAGAATAACTAAAATAAATCAGGATGTAGTTTCTGACCAAGGTCAGAAAATAGGTGTAGGAAGGCGGATGCATGATCGTGACAACCGTGGTGGATATATATATATAGGATGTTAAACTGCATGACATAAAATATTAGAATACTATGGGCACCACTTACCCCCCTAAGGCCTAATTTCTGACCGAGGTCAGAAACTGTAGTTGTATAGTGTGATTTAATACCTAGGAGTACTGAGCAGTGATAAGGATATATCAAAATGTAGAAGGTCAATATAGTCCGATATGCGGGACGACTATGTGGTTCGGTATGCGGGACGACCACGTGGTCCGGGATGCAGGACCACTACATTTTGGTCCGATAGGGAGGACTACTACATTTTGGGTTATATTATGCTACTTTAAGTGGTGCTGGAGCTTCTAGCCATAATTTCTAACCGCGGTCAGAAATTAGACTAGTTTAGGGAAAATTAACAACTGCGTGCGTATGGTAGAAATATAGCAATTTGACGTGGTCGGAAATGCAGGAGTTTAACGTGGTTCAAAATGTAGGAGATAGAGATGGTCGGAAATGCAGAAGTTCGAGGTGGTCCAAAATGCAGAAGTTGAACGTAGTCCAAAATGCAGAAGAAGGGGATGGTCGGAAATACAGAAGTTTAACGTGGTCCAAAATGCAGAAGAAGGGGATGGTCGGAAATGCAGAAGTTGAACGTGGTCCAAAATGCAGAAGAAGGGGATGGTCGGAAATGCAGAAGTTGAACGTGGTCCAAAATACAGAAGTTAAACGTGGTCCAAAATGCAGAAGAAGGGGATGGTCGGAAATGCAGAAGTTGAACGTGGTCCAAAATGCAGAAGAAGGGGATGGTCGGAAATGCAGAAGTTGAACGTGGTCCAAAATGCAGAAGTTTAGTTTAGATGACTTCTTCTGCATTTTGGACCAAGGCTGAACTTCTGCATTTTCGACCAAGCCGAACTTCTGCATTTCTGACCATCTCTACCTACTGCATTTTGGACCACAGTCAACCGCTCTATTTCGTACTATATTGTACTACCATAAGCGCTACTAGACCTTTCAGCCAGATTTTCTGAGCGCGGTCAGAAATTATACTCGTTTAGTGATATTTGACAACTGCCGGTATGTTTGAAAGAAACTCGCTCTTTCAGTTTGTTTATGGTCTTTTTTTCGCGAAAATACTCCCGACTGCGTAATAGCAGCACTCAATGGCTGGGCTCAATAGCTATACGTCCAAAGAAACTCGCCCAAAGAAACTCGCCCTTTCAGATTATTTATAGTCTTTTTTTCGTGAAAATACTCCCGACTACGTAGTGGCAGCGCTCAATGGTAGCGCTTAATAGCTATGCGTCAAAGAAACTCGCTCTTTGAGTTTATTTATAGTCTTTTTTCGCGAAAATACTATTAGCTATGCAATACTAAGACGTACAAACAGTTATATTAAGATACTGAGGAGAGAACTTACGTAGTTTCTACTTGAACCAGCGTATTTACGTGGATTTCAAACTTGATAATCTCGGTTGACTTCGCCATGTCAACAGTGAGCAGTGACCCCAACGCATATGAGGCGATAGACCAATCCTTTGCCTTCGCCGCAACGCTAAATCTCAACGGACAGTATGTGAGGTCAATTGCGGAAGGGCTCACGATAATCAAAACCCTGTCGCCCCGGGATATTTACCCGGCCGCGTTGATGATCCAGGATCATGCCCACGGCGTCATGGGGGACGCTGTAAGGTCGTTACAAGAGGTACATGACTTTGTTGAACATGGAGAGTTCTGGAGGATGCATGAAAAAAGCCTGGAATCATTCCGAGACTCATGGCAGGTCACACGGGATGCGATAAAAGTCCAGGAAGGGCTCGATCGGTTTAAGGCGAATGTACGGAAGCGAGCGATCCTCCAGTGGGGCGAGCAGCGGGCCAACACTCTTCTGATACGCATAGGAAGCTACGCCATGCTCCGAAAGGTCAGTAAGACTATCAGTGAGGGGCTATCGTACCCTGAGCTCCAAGCTGCTATCAACAACGCGATTGTGTACCGGAAGTCTAGACGTGGCCGTGGCATTCGCCAGTATGCTCGAATCATGCAAATTGATCTCGACGTAGCGCTAGCGCAGCGGAATTTCGAACCTCTCAATCCTGAAACCCTATACACGCTCGCGCTTGGGGTAGATATGGATGGATTTATCTGCTCAATTCGACCAGGTTGCCAAATACGGGCTACGGGCATAATACCACCAGTACCGCTAGTACAACCTGCGGGGGCCGCGAACGCTATAGACCCCCCGGAGTCCCTAGAGAAGAGACCCCGCGACGAGACGCCATCATCAATATTATCACCGTTGTCATCTTTGCCATCAACCCCCTCTGTTCTATCTGACGACGAGCAGGACGACGAGGAGCAAGACGACGAGGAGCAGGACGACCAGGACGATGACGACGAGGAGCAGGACGACCAGGAGCAGGACGACCAGGACGATAACGACGACGACGAGCAGGACGACGAGGAGCCTCTTCCTCGCCCTCAAAAGCGATTACGCCTAACTCCTAAGAACCCACTTGCCAGCTGTGGCTGTGCTCTTACAAATGCCGCAATTCGGCGTCTTCTAAGGGGGACCGAGCTCCCTACCGATACCCTCAAGAAGCAGCTACTCCGACAGGTTGGAAAAGCAATGGCGACCCGGAGTGCTGCATATACCTCTCCATCACTATCTCTCTGCAATCTCCATACCCACGGGCTATGTAAACGCTTAGGCCTTTACTGTCGTAACCCGTACAAAGAATTACTCCGGCGGTTGCGTGAGCTATATGCAAATCTTGGGGAATGGGATCAGATGAAAGGTCGGTATAAGGGTTGGTTTAAAAACGTGACAAGTAATCTAGAATCGGGATGGCGGTTCCCGGTTGCGGGTTCGGGTATGCCGAGGGTTGCGAACCCGGTGCTGATACAATCGCTAACGTTCGCTCGACTGTATAAGCGCTGCTGCGGCCGAGACGCCGACCCTGCGGTTTGGGACCTCGGGCAGCAGCTAGATCGAGACGGAAGTATTGTGCTACCAGGGCTGTTTGAATGGCTGGGGGAGGATTTCGACGGGAATCACCCGGGTGGCCTACGGCATCTGATCATGGAGGAATTCAATATGTACGACTGGCATTACCTGGCCCGCCCGTCTAAGCCTCGTATTGGTTGGGCTAGGAATATGTGGTTTAGCTTAGTACAGCAGATGGTTCGACAGGACCCCGCATACTATGCGTTCTACGTCCGATGCCGTCCGGATCATGCGTGGAAGCTGGTATCATTCCCCTACTATGCCAAACGGATATACCCCGGAGAACGTACCTTCTTTCGCCATATTGACGTCAATATCATCGACTTTGTCCGCAGTGGGCGGGGGTCAATGCGCTCTAAGGGAGTCTCGCTCTCTCCGACGAGGATAGCGGCAACTGCACCGAGTTACTCCTAGGGATGCATCGCGAGATCGCTACGTGGCATAGGCGGCTGGTCGACAGAGGGTATGCCAAGGATGGGTATGTGCAGCGGATTGACGCCGACATGTGGACCGAGGATGATGAGGCCCACTTTGGCTATGGATGGACTAAGCAGGTCTGCCGGTTTGGGGATGTCCGGCTAAGTTTACCTGGCCTACCTCACGGGTCTACCGGCCCGGCGACTGCCCACCGTGTTAATATCCTGCCCTGGTTCGTTGCGATCGGCGATGATCACCAAACCTTGGACACCGCGGAGTCGGGTACCTGGGATGACCTCTCGCGCTGCCATCGGGATTTCGACTCGGGTACCAAGACACCCTCCGGTCTGCCGAACAGCACGTACGGTGGTCGGGTGGATCATATATTTCCCGCGACCGTGCGGCTGGGACGCCTGGGGGCGATTTCAGATGCCCTGGTGGGCCAGACGCGATGGGATACAGTAGATGTACGGAGGGAGCTGGATGTTTTATTCGGGGACGACGATGATATGGCTTGGGGCTATGTGCAGTCCTGGAGACGTAACGCCCAGCAGCTCTACTGTGATGCGTTTGAAAACCTCGTGTTAGCTGAGAAGGATGCCTTTGGGGAGAATTCCTACTTCTACCGGAGGGAACGAAATCTGTCTACGATCCCGGAGTTCGTTCGTGATGGTATCGAAGATGCTAGGTCCCAGCGTCCCCTAGGTACCCCGGAACCCCCTGATGCTGAAGTAGGTGGCCTTACTGCGGGTACCGAATATATAGAAGCTGATAAACCGACGGACATTGGTATTGGTATTAGGCAGGATGAAAGCTTAGACATTTAGTGTGCGGGATTATTTAGTGAATTAAGCATTGAATCGTCTGTTTCTTATGATAATATAATACAGAAGAAGAGCTCGTACTACTATAAGCACTACGAGACCTTCCAGCCAGATTTTCTGACCGCGGTCAGAAATTATACTCGTATAGTAGTAATTAACTATTAGAAGCACCAACTAGTATCTAAAGTTGATTTAAATAGAAATTGGACGTGGTCTAAATCTAGGAGTAGGCGATGGTCGGAAATGCAGAAGTTGGCCGTAGTCGAAAATGCA